TTGGGGAGGGGGTTGGAATGGGAGTGGGAAAAGGGTGGAGTCGGGGCGAGGCCGGGGCGGCAATTATTTCCCGGCCTAGGGGCGGCAAAATTATTAATCCGCCACTGGGTGGGTGAGGTAATATCTTTTATTGGACCAACTTCCGTTGGTGAAAGAGACAAGCTTCCAAGTTTACACAAAGCTCTTCTTCAGGTCTGGGAAGCTAACTCAGACATTGTGTCAGTTTTCCAGACCTGAAGAGGAACTCCTTGTAAATTTGGAAGCTTTTCTCTCTTACCAACTGAAGTTGGTTCAATAAAAGATATGACCTCACCCACCTTGAGTCTCTCTCTCTTCCCCCCCCCCCGTCATTTAGTTGCTTTATTTATCACCTGTAAATTACCTAAGTATTTTCTATAAATAACTTAGTAGTGAGATTCTCCCTTCTCTCCTCAGAAGGGATACAGCACTGTTAGCATGAAACTGACTGTAATCTAAACATATTGGAGTGTATTCATATAAATTAATAAATAAAACAAAACCCCCCTACCAAAACACTACACTAGCCCACATAATTTTTCCCCTGGGGAGAGGATGAGACAGAGCGAACTGCATATGAACAGATGTTAGTCACATTGCTTAACACTGCTGGAAGGCACTCATATTTCAGTGATGAGGGGCGGTATAAGAATTTACATAAGAACAAATTGCTTAAAATAATTGCTCTAATTCTGTTTTGTTACTCAAGTATAAACACACAGACTATGACTTGACGCGTGTGTCTAAATGAGAGGTGATAATTAGTTTTTCTAGATACTTCAAGCTTGATGCCCAAAATCGTCTACTACGGGAATAAAGCTAGCTATTCCCTTTGTTTTGTATCTGAGTTCTTAATGACAGACTGATGTTTTTGGCAACTTTTCTTTCGATAGTTCATGGTTTTTCTTTTTTAAAAGCTCGTTCACTCACTGTTTAATCTTAAAGTGTACGGGAAAGGGTGGGGGAGGGGAGGGAGAAGAAGTTATTTTCTCTGTATGGAACTATCCTGGCCATTTCTAATAATAAATCAATAAGAATATTTTTAGATGTAGTTTAGAGGGAAAGCGGCTCCAAACAAAATGACCAGGCGTAAATATGCCACAAGCTCACTGTTACACAATGTAAGCTGTACAAAGTGTATTTTTCCTGAGCAACCCATGCAAGCAGTGTAAGTGAATCCCATTCTACTTGACACTGTCCCTTTTTAATGATAAAGCACAGAAGTGATTAGAGGGAAGATTGTGTGCCTAGTATTTGTACGAATAAATTGTAATTATTCCAGAAGGCTTCAGATGCTTTCACCATTGTATAGAGCTGATTAATAACAGTAGGGATTCTGAGTTTAATTGATCTGCATGCAGGAGGTGTGCTTTGTGTTGCATAAAAAGTGAGTCTGTGATGGTATCCTTTATCCTAACTAATAAGATTTCCTTCTCCCCAGACCTCCTTTAGTCTCTGAAAAACAAACTGGATTATTGTCTTACTAGGCATTGTCGAGCTCTCCATCATCCACTACGCTCTCAGACAAATAATCTTACATGTGGAACAAGTTAAAAAGTCAGGCTGATGGTAATCAAGTATCCCATGGGTACCTATTATTGGAGCATGGCTTTGACTAAAGCTATGGATGAGGGTGCACGTGATGGTGAGAGGAGATGAATGGACTGGAAAAGTATGGGACAGGCTGGGGAAAGGAGGACCACAGTTTCCAAAATGCCCTGGTGGATTTGGAGTGTGCCATCTTTAAATGTATCCCGGATCAGAGTCCTGTTGTGCTAGGCACTGTACATGTACATTAAAAATGGTCCTTGCCCCAAAGAGCTTGCCAACTAAGATCCCAATCTGCAAATACACACATGCTTAACTTAACTACCGTGAAGTCTCATTGAAGTCAGTGGGGTTACTTGTGGTAGTAAAATTAAGCATGTGCATAAGTTTTTTTTTGCAGTATTGGGGTCTCCACTACAAAGTTTGGTGGATGCAAATTACATATCTATAGAGCCACCAAAATGTGTATATTGCATGGGTGTGTGTGGGTTTCTGGTTGCTTGAACTGGTGCTGTATATGCCTACCCAGAGTCTGTGTGTCGATGTAACAGTAGTGTGAAGTGCAGTATATCCTGGGTAGGTATCCCACTGTGCCCTGCTTTCTGGCGCAGTGCCTTTTGGGACACTTTCGCATTGCTTTGTGGAATAGTAGCAAATCGCCTACGGATTTCTGGGAGCGAGGGGTCAAGTTTCCACCATGCTAATTTCTCCATCCTATAATACTTTCCATATCCCATAATTTTGGTACAGTTTTTCAAAATTCTCACAGCCCCGAGGAGTGCTTTTTGGTGTCCGCCATCTGCCTGACAGAAGCATGGAGCCGGCAGAACTCAGTACAGTTCTCATCTGCGTTGCTAATACAGGACACACGACTGTCCAGTATTTTCACAGCTTGAGGGAGTACTGCTGCAATCAGGATTGTGATGAAGAAAGTGCAGCGTTAGTTGAGCACAGTAACTGGATGCTGATGGACATAGTGAAAAACAATGCCAGGTTGCTGCCGGCATTCCCAGAGCTCCTCTGCATGATGGAGCACTGTTTCTGGGCCTGAGAAATGAGCACTGACATGTGGGATTGCATCATAATGTAGGTTTGGGATGATGAGCAGTGGCTGTAGAGCTTTCAGATGTGAAAAGCCACATTCTTGGGGCTGTGTCGAGCTCACCTCAGCCCTCCACAACAGGGACACCAAAATGAGAGCAGCATTGACAAGTGGAGAAGCAAGTGGAGATCCCTCTCTGGAAGCTTGTAACACACACTGGCTTGCTACTGGTCAGTGGGCAATAATTTTGGGTTGGAAAATCCACAGTGCGGGGCCCATTGTTTTATGGCCTTACACAGTTGGATCACATCTCTTGCTATGGAGGACTGTGACTCTTGGTAATATATAGGAAACAGTAGGCAGATTTGCAGTAATGGGGTTCCTGAACTGCGATAGGGTGATAGATGGCACACATGTTCCTATTTTGGCACCAGCCCACCTTGCCACACAGAAAGAGTTACTTTTCTGTGGTTGTGCAGGTGTTAGTGGATCACCAGGTGCACTTCACTGATATCAATGTGGCTGATCAGGGAAGTATACAGGACTTTTCATTGGCAATGTTGAAGTGGCAATAGTGAATCTGGGGGACCCAACCTACCCCTTGCTTCCCTGGCTCACGAAGCTATACACTGGCCACCTCACACACCAAGAAAGTTTTAACTACCAGCTCAGCAGGTGCAGAATGACATTAGAATTCGCTTTTGGGAGATTGAAGTGACGCTGGTGGTGTTTACTTATTAGATTGGATCTCAGTGAGAAACATTCCGAAGGTTATATCTGCATGCTGTATACTGCACAACATCTGTGAGGTGAAGGGGGAATAGCTGCCACTGGGTTGGAGGAATCTGGTTGACTGGCTGTCTGCTGAATTTGAACAGCCAGACACCGGGGCTACTAGAAGAGGAGATGTGCGTCTGAGGAAGGCCATAAAAGAGCATTTTGCCAGTCTGCTATAGTAGAGTTCTTTGTTGCTTTAATTAAGTGTCTGTCTTGTACACTTTAAACGGTACATTGGTAGGGTCTTTGCCTCCTGCTGTGCATTCTGGAGTGCTTGATGTGAACTAGTAAAATACTCTGGCTTTCTAAAAGTAAAGCTTTATTGTGTGTAAAACAGCAATTAACAAAATTGAAGCTCAAACACATGCAAGATTAAAAAGACTTTTGCCAAAATCCCAAGTGAAGATGGAAGTAAACAATAACATTTATGTCAAGGTATGTAAACGGTAATTCAGTGCAGTCTGTTGTAGCTACATCTATACTGACCTGTATTTTTACAGGTGTATATGTAGCTGTGGTTCTCTTTGTTGTTCCTCGGTGTGGAACAGTTGGAGTAAGGATGTTAGGGAGCAGCACCCATAGAGTTCTCCAAAGACTGCAACATGCGCTCAGTGCGGGACCTTTGGAACTGTAGGTCAACCATGCTTTGCAACATTTGCATTTGTTACCTGAATAACCCCATTATGTCCTGGTGCATTTCCTTGATGCCTCTTAGTCCTTTTGCCTGTCCTGCAGCAGCTGCTCTCTTCATTCTCAGTTTTTCCCTCTATGTTATGTTCTGAAGAAATCTCCAAGACCTTTGATCATGGTACAAGGCAATTGTGGCCTGGAGGATCTTGGAGAACATATACTCCCTAGTCCTATTTCTTCGTCTCCTGATCAGGGTCAGACATGCAGCGGCATGGAGGGGGGACCCCTCAAAACCACCATGCCAGAAGTTGCTGATTAAAAACAGACTGATACACTTTAGATTTGCAGTCACAACGAAAAGGGAAAGAAATCTCAAAACTCCCTTTGCATTATTTTCACAAATACCTTAATAAAAATGCTTATTGATGCCTCAGCTTTGGAGCATCTTGGTACAGCATTGCTCTGCAACTCAAATCCTGGTTAGTACGGCCTAGCAAGGGGAAGAAGAGGCGGTGTTCTATTTCATGTGGATATACAGTTTGGTCCTCTCCCTGGGTACTGATATAGGGAAATGGCAGTGACTATTAACACTATATTTCATAGGCAATGGTGATTTTGGCTGATATCTCACTCCTGAGAGTCATAAAGGCACAGAGAACATGGCTGTTGATGGCTTCCTTAAGCCGCCTGGGCCTCTGTTGGGTTAGCCTGTTTACTGCAATGGTGCCAGCTGAACTCATCACAGAGTGGCATGGGAAAGTGTCCTATCTCAGAGGAAGAAATAAAGATACCATCCCTAGAATTCTTCAGGAGAGGATTGCAGAATATCTCCATGAAAGTTTCATCGGTATCTCTCAAGGATAAAAGAGACATCCTTATTCTGATAAACATAGTACTCCACAAGGCCCCCTCCTAGCCCAACGAGCCAAAGAAATGAAAAGTGAATCTTGAGTCTGCCTCTGTTTGTTCCACTGCTACCTGAACACGACACTGATTTAATGTGGATTGTATAACCAGACTGCCATACAACCATTTTTGAAATGTATTTTCTAACATTACACCAGTACAACAATGAAAAGTTGATTCCTTTGTCTTAACTTGTGAATGGGACAGGTGTCATTTTTAAAATGGGGAACAAAGGCGGGAGATGAGGTTTGAGGGAAAGGAAAATAATAATAAAAAAAAAATTGCAAGGAAAACTGCTTGTACACTTATTCAAATTCCCTTCCCCTTTGTCAGTGGGTTCATCTGTGCTCACCTGGTGGAACTGGCTAGACTCCTGCACAGTTTTAGACCGTTCCTAGCTTGTGGCATGGTTTGAGTTCCCCGCCATAGGCGACCTCCCCCCCCCACCCCCCGATTCATGACAGGCATTTCCATTTCTAACTCCTCCACAGTCGCTATCTTGAACACCATAGTTAGATTGACTTAACTCCTGGAATTGACACCGCTAGGTTGATGGAAGAATTCTCCTGTTAACCTTCTCGAGGGGGTGGCTTAACTACAGTGACGGAAAACCCCCTTCACTATGGTGCCTACAGACACACAGCTGCCATACCGTAACTGTGCCTCTCTAGCATTTACAGTGTAGACAGGCTCTAAGAGCTGTACTTTCGTAGTGCAAAGGCAAGAGTCAGCTTCTGTTTTTAGCAGACTCTTAGATCACTTGATTAGATCAAAAGAAATGCATTCTTTCTTAACTTTCCTGTGAAGTCTTGAAGTAATTCTTGTTTTAACATAGTAAATTGATTTAAATGCTTATTGTAGTAATTGGCAAACCAGATAAATTGAACCACAGATCTGTTAATTGAATTTCAATTGTAATCTTAATTTGATTGTGTCATATTTGATTAGTTATGGGAAATTAGAAGTAAATCAGTGATAGATTTGCTTAGCTTTGTATTTGTTTGCATATTCTTTTAATAAATCTATTAAAAACAGGGGACTGGTTTCTCTCCCTAACTGTTGTGTGAGAGAACAATGTATTCGCAGGTAAAGGTAAATTCATTGATTAGCTCCTGGATGCATATTTTAATTGTTTAAAATTCTATTACCACTACATAATGTTTCAAACCAATTTGACAAACAGATTTTTTTTATCTCTGAATGATCATAAAGCTGATGATTTCCATTGCATTGACTTTGTTATATATGCAGGAGACCATTATGGTCAGGGGTTTCAGAGAGGCCCTGGGGGCTTCAGTGAGAACTACAGCTGGAAAATGCAGTTGACATCCAACAGTACAAGGTTTGTCCATCTGACTGAAATGAAAAGCAGCATGTAAGTACAGTAGCTAATAGAATTATCTATGACATCCTTTACTGTATAAAAATGACCTTAATGATGTGTGATGACAACTTGATGATGATCTGATAAAATCAATTTTGATCTTTCAAAAGAGTTTTTCAGATAATTTTTGCTCTTTCTCTTTATTGTTTCTTTACATAAATACATACTACTAAGTTAAAAAAAATCCCCAATGTTATGTACATTCCATAATCTATTTTATGCTCAGAGTTATTATTAATTCAGTGTCTTAACTAAGTTAAAAGGAGAGATTTTAGATTCTAGGCAGCGAGATATAACGAATAAAAAGTGCTTTCTCTGGCTTTGTCCCTCGTCCCACCTTGAAGGAAATATTTTTCCCGCCTCTTAATCCAACTTTTTGTTTCAGTCACATGTTTTGGTGCCAGGTATCCATGTTTATGACATGATGTTTGACTTTCATTGTTTAGGTCTGCTATGAAGAGGCTATACAGCACTTCACACACAACAGTGGATTCAAAAGAGATGAAAAAATTCCAGCTTTTGGCACATAGGTGGTGGGATGAACAAGGAGAATATTCCGCCCTGCATTCTCTGAATGATATTAGAGTGCCTTTTATTAGGTACAGTTTGGGGATTACTTTTGCTGTGTAATGCTATTTCTAAGCATCCATCTAAAAACAGTGTAAAATAACTTAGACAGGAAAATGAGACATAACTTGTTGAACAAATATCACATGACCCCACCCCTAGTCTCTACCCCCACACTCTCCTCATCCCATCCCTTCCCACCTTATCTGGGGAGGGCCAGGGGAGGATGTCTCTGGCCTGGCTGGAGCTGCTCCAGCAGGCTGGACAGTGTGTGGCCTCAGCCTGCTCCAGTGGGCCAGACCGGGCAGTCGTGGCCGCAGCATGTTCCAGTGGGCTGGGCAGCTCGGCCGCAGCCTGCTCTGGGGGGCGGGGCCAAGCGGCACAGCTGCAGCTAGGGTGACCAGACGTCCCAATTTTATCGGGACTGTCCCGATATTTGCTTTTTTGTCCCACGCCCCGACTGATGTTCGGTCGGGACACTGGACAAAAAAGCACATTTGCCCTCCATTCCGGCGCTCACGCCCGCCCCTCCCCCCCCGCCCCGACTCCGCCCCTTTCTTTCCCCATTGGATCCCTCCCCAAATCCCCGCCCTGGCTCCTGCCTTTTCCCGAAGCACGCAGCCCGCATTCCCCTCCCTCCCAGGCTTGTGCGTCGCTGATCAGCTGTATGGCGGCTGCACAAGCACTGGAGGGAGGCCACCGGACACCAGCGTGTGGTGCTGCATGGATGTGAGGGGGAGGGAGGGAGGAGGTTAGGAGGAGGGATGTGTGGAGGGGGGATGGAGGGAGCAGGGTCGGGCATCTACCAGGAGCGCGGGAGGGGAAGGAAAAGTTGCCGCGGCTGCCGGGGGCTAGCTGGGCATGGCCCGGGCTGCGTGCAGGCAGCAGCTGGGGCTGGCTCTGGCCCAGGTGGGCGGTGCGGCCCGGGGGCGTGGGCCGCCAGAGACACACGGCGGAGAGGGGCTGTGGGGGGTGAGACTTGTCCCAGGCGGGGCCGCCAGCGGACAGGGGCTAGGAGCCGGTCGGGGTCCCCAGAACCCATAAACTTCCCCGCCGCAGTCGGGGAGCCCCGCGCCTCTCCCGCTCGGCTGCGCTCCAGTGG